TAATTTCAATAAATAAGCACTTAACAGGAGGAACTACTAATAGGAACATTACACTAATCTAGACTATTAAAAGGTCACTGTGTGATATTTAACAAGACCCCAATCAGCTAGAATTTATAATTGCAAATGGAAACACCTGTAAAGGTTCCCAAGCCTTTAAATGGTCTCTCAGTCTAGATAAATTACAGAAATGAATGTAATTTTGTATAGTATTTTAATTTTTCCAGCTTCACATAATTGTTATTAGTAGCATTTCTGTTGCTGATAATCTAGTAATGGTTAAATAAATAAATAAAAGCCTTTAAAATGACACTAGAAGAGGCACAGATCTGATGGAGGACTTACATTTACTAACTTGGGTCAGACCCAACCACAGAAGAGCTGAAGCTGGGTGGTAAACACACACAGGTAGTTCTGATAACACCTGAGCTCCATGATGTTTGAGACTGATGCATCAGTGTTACAGCGGGGCTAAAGACATAATCAGAAACAGGTTACAGCTGGATGATCTAGGAAGGTAGAAGATCAGGACGTCTGAGCGATGAACAGGTGAGCGGACCTTTGGGACGTCCCGCTGTCATGCTAAGAAGGGCACGGCTGCAGATTCCCACCTGCAGCAGCGAATCTGCGGGTCTGTAGCCGTAGATGGTCATCACGTCCTCCTCGTTCTTCACAGGCCGTGATGCGCTTGGATGAAAACCTCTACCTCTTTAGCTCCTGATCAGCTGATGACAGCTTCAACACACCGCGCTGCTTATCGCACGCATTTCCTTATCAGTAACAGAAACAAAGTTTTGATAAAAGAAGACGTGGGCCGCTGCTGTAAAAAGTGAGGCGCGAACCGGAAAAGCTTCTGCCGATCACAATTCAACAACGGATTATGAAAGAACGGATAATGCTCGAAACACGCAGATTCTTCCTGATGTGAGAGGTGAGTCTCCACTTTGTTTTGGTTGTTTTGGCGTCGACATCATCCTAGCGCGCCGACACCTCTCTCTCTCTGGCTGCTGCTGAAGTGTGGCGATCAGAAAGCCTGCTGCTCAAAGTTCGACAAGCACATAGTAACGCACAACCTTCCGTCCCCAGTAACGGTAACGGCGTTGCAACGGCGGGAAAAGTAATTAATTAGATTATTCCGTTACCTTTAAAAGAACGCTGTTAGAAACGCCGTTATACTTAAACAGTGTTACTCCCAACACTGCCCCCCTCAAGTTTCTCCTCCAGCCTCGGGTGGCAGCAGAAGGAGAATCTGTGACAGAAGGGAGAAAGTGACGGGCAGCGGGACAGTTCGACACACTTCTCCTCCATGATGCATCAAATAATAAATCAGTTGGATCGTCCTGCATTGCCTAGAATAATGAGTTCTGATGATAATCCACGGAGTTTGAACATCAAATCGCTCCACCATGTCCATGGAGGAGATGTTAAAAACCAGGTAAAGGAGCAGAGCTGAGATAAGCAGGGGGCTGTTACCACACATCTGCTTCATACAGCAGTGAAAACATGTGTCTGATCGCCATGCGTTAAGTAAAATAATAAGTTTTGATAATAATCTGTGCAGAGCATTAAAATTATATTTTCTGATTTACCATGGGCGCTGTCGCGCTGCATTTGCGGCCGATGCGCCTCTCATAAGCGGCCGATAGGAAGGGACAAGCAGCAGAGTACGTGAGAATGTGCTGTCCAGTAACACGCTGGCGCTGCTGGTCCAGTCCGATGGAAAGGGGGTCACTCACTGTTCAACTATGGGCTCTTTAGAATGTTGTGATGTCACATGAAACCAACCTTCTGCATATAAAATTAAACTTAATTAACCCAAATACCAACACTCACGGCCTTTTTAGCTCATACTACATGATGACTGCTTTAGATATAGAACGTGTTCTACTTCTTATTGAACACACACATTAAGTTTTAAAATGTAACCTAGCCAGCCCCGTGCTAATGCTACTTACTGTAGTGTCGCCCCTTCTCCTGGCGCAGCAGCAGCACCTGCTGGGGTGGTGACTAAGGCCGGCCCTGGACCTAATAGGTCTGCCAACTGTGAACACTTAGCAGCTCCCACCTCTAGAGACTTCAGTCTTTTTTTGCCGCAACTTTTCTGCGCCACCCAAACGTTTCTTCGGCTTCTCCATTTTTACATCAACAGTCTGGGGCACGGCACTGTCCACCACTCCCGCCGACCAGCGATGAGGCCCCGCCCACCCTGGTTTGTGCTGCCTGTGATTGACAGCCCTGTCGCAGCGCCCTGAACCAGTCAGCCCATGACAATGAGAAACAGACCAATAATACATCTTGATGTGGGCAACACACTGCTAGCCTCAGTAACCTATTGGCCTGCCCAATTTGTAAGAAATCTGAGGGCGAGAGAGAAAGACGAACAAAACGAATGGATGAATGAATGAAATAATTAATAAATGTCAGACCGGCCCGGCGGCCCCGCCCACATTGTCAGCCCACCGGGATGGCTCCCGGTGCTCCAGAGAGTCAGTCCACCCCTGGACTTGGTCCTCTGTCAGTACCACAGAATTTGGTCATGCCTTAAAAAGTATCGAATTCGGTACCCATCCCTCATCACATTGCTAGATTCTTACCAATAAACACCCAAATATAAGAATTATATATATATATATATATATATATATATATATATATATATATTCAAATTAAGTCAAATTAATTAGTCAAAATAAAGTAGGGACCTCTGAATATTATACATTTCATAAAGACTAAAAGATTTTTTGTTTAATGTCTTAAATGAGAAAAAATACTGCAAAGTAAAGTACTTGTGATTTTTAAACTTAATTTTTTTTATTGAACTTTGAAACATATTTGGGCACCTGACAGCTGTGGGCCCTTAGAGTCGTCCTAATCTTTCACCGCTTTACGGCGCCCCTGCTCACCACACACATTTAAGCTTTCGAGATCATACGACCAAACAATTACACATTATCACCCTTCTCTCCTTCTGAAACGGATACATATATGGCTACTATATGTAATATCGGCCCAGTTTCACTCATTAGACCAATATCGATATGTTTAAAAAATGACTAACATCGATACCGATATTGATGCCGATATATCGCGCATCCCTAGTTTGATGCATGGGATGTGAAAATTGTGTAATTAAGAGTAAAAACTGATGCCAACATGGGTGATAATATTAGACATTCCTAACTTTTAATCCTTGATCCAACATCAAACACCATCTTAGACAGGTCAGGGTACTTTAGGTAACACAGCAGCCATAATGGGCGTATTTGACAGGAAAAGCTTTCAGGGAACATTTAGTGACTGACTGATCTCAGAACTGTTTTTATTCAGTGTTCTGAGCATAAATCAGAACATACAATTCTTAGTTTGATTAAAGAAATGACCATGAACATTTCTGAATACAGAGTAGGTAGAAAAATGACATAATATGGGTTGGTGATGTAACATCAATAGCTTTTTTTCCACAGGCTTGCTAATGATTTAGCCTGTTTCAAAGGGTCGATGCATTGGGTCAAGCTGCGCTTACTACAGGAAGCCTTGCTGTCATCAGTCATCTGTATTTAAATGAATCTAAATAACAGTAGGCAGTAGTTAAGTGCTGGAGTCTCTGGAGCTTTTGATTAGGTTTATGATGACAAAATGACTGGGGCTGCACCGTTCCATTAACATGACATATTTCATTAGAACACAAGTCCTTGGCAGTGTGTGGTGTAACGAACCTAAACTCTGATATCCTGTTGTTTTTATTCAGAGGAAGCTTAGTGATAATGCAGCTCCGCAGGCAAAGCTATTCAGCATCAGGTTCTGGTTTTTAAGGTTCTTCGAGTAATTTTATTGATGGAAAAGTTGTAACAGTTTCTCATCTGGGTTGGTTTAGTTAATATTATGGGGTGCCAGTCAGGTCTCCCTCCTGACTTATAGGATGATGGTGAGTGTTTAAGAAATTAGCTTTGAACCCAGTTTTCCTCTGTCACACAAGGACATATACTTAAAATGATTTTGTGTACACCCTCAATTTCTATAAAAAGTGTAGGCAACCAGCAGAATAAAGAATACAGCACAGTCCATGAAGAGAAACCAGCAGTCTTGTCCTTGATTTTGGTGTAGCTCCATTTTAATTTTCCTTTTTATCTTCTTTTGTCTTTGCCATGGAATAAGGAGCTATGACACAAATCAAATATAATTACATTAAATACACAATACATTCAAACATAAAAAGAAACCTGTAAAAGAAATGATCTGTACCGAACTCACTCACTTGACAGGGGTGTGAATGATTCTTCTAGCAGGACACAATTTAGAAACTCTAAAGAAAACAGATTTGTTTTGCTCTTAGCCTTAAGTCTCAAGGACTTAGCACAGGCACACCAAGTATTTTGGTTGGTGTTTGGTCGGCTCAGAGGACTTACATTCTCCTCTGTAATGATAGGTGAATCCACACCGTCACAGGAAGACGCTCCACATGCTAACCCTTTCTCCAGCACTTTACATCCAGCACAATACATCCAAGGGAATCAAAGGAAACGATTGGAGAAAAAAACCAGGAGAGACACAGTGTGGCTTTCCTTTTGAAAAATGAACCTGGGCATGGCGCACAGGTGCTGAGCATTTGCCATCAAGGCAGAGAGGAGGCAAGAAATATGGTGCAACCCCTGAGGTTGTCACAAAGTGTTCACATGCTAGTATTAAAGGGATAGTTCTGATGTTTTCAAGTGAGGTTTTATGAAAAGGTTTGAAAATTTAAAGATGTGGAACACGGAAAAAACATTTAGAATTATTATTTCTGAATATAATTATGATTTCCAAAACTACTAATAACAAATATGATCAAAAACCGGACTGAATTAAATGGCATCTAATTGAATAAACCACAGGGGTTCATGATGTGCTCGCACTAGCTGCTAGCTTAGCTAATATCTCTATTTCGGTAAGCTGAGGTTGTTCCCTGAGTCATGTCAGAAATGAAAAAGAAACCTGATCCTGGTTTATGTTTATGTCCCCAGGGTTGATGTTCGTTTTCCCTCCCGAGGCTCCACTTCCCGAGAAACCCCGGAGTGAAAGTGCGACATACGTAAATATCCCCATCAGTCCCACATCAAAGAAACAGCTGAACTACATGGAGCTGGAGCTGCAGGAGCCGACGCACGGCGGCAGAGGGGCCGCCACACATCCCTCAAATCAGAGTAAGGATATGATAGGAATCGCTTCCCATTTGTAGGATGCCTCATCTCCAGACAGTTCCATTTTCTACATCTATTCAGTAGCTTTTGAATCAAGTAATGGCTCACATATCTCTAGTGATGTAACACTTTACATAATCAGATGCAGAAGTTTAACTTGAATTCAGACGCTGACCTCACCAATGCTCCCCCATTGTTTCTGTCCACCTCGCTGTTCAGAACTGGCAGACTGACTTGAAAGCTCACAATAACTCAGCATGTCAGCATACAGCAGCAATGAAAAGTCATCATGATTGCATGAATCATAACTTATCTGCCTCGTCAGTGTTGGGGTCCTGCCCTCATGAGAAAATTACTACGCAGTATTTTCTCCAAAGGACTATGCTATCTACGCCCTGAAGCGTAGACAATAAAGCGTATTGGTATCAGCGCCAGCAGGGACTCCATGTCCCATGATCCTCTGCAGCCGGCAGCAACTTGATGATGTCATCACACGCTGCCAAGTCTGACCGGCCCCTACAGAGACCGCCCGCTGGACGAGTCAATAAAGCCGAGGCGCAGAGCGGAACTCTTCCTCTTCCCATCCAGTTCATCTGGTGTAAGGAGACCCCCCCCCACCCCCACCCCCCACCCCCGCTCCTACCGCGCCGGACAGCGTGTGTATGAGGCCTAGCTGCTGAGATCAACGGACCAACGGCATCTGATCTGCTCAGCCCCGGACACAGAGGGACGCCTTGTATTCGTTCATTCAAGATTTCTTTTTTTCCTTTTTTATATTTCTCTTTCTCTCCCGCTTCTCTAATAGTCCAAACAAGCGGTCGACCACGTGACTGCTTTAAATTAACAGACGGTCTCTCTCTTCCGTACTAAAAGCGTCAACGGACCATCTCGAAGTAAGCTCCGTTCTTTTATTGTTTAATATCTAAGTTTGTTTATACTGTGGCCAGGCTGACAGACTGTTTAGATATGTGATTTGCCTTTATGACTGATGTGTTGTTGTTTTTTTTCTTGGTCTTTGTGAAGCGATTTGAAGTGTTTTGATTAAGTTTACTGTGAACGTTTGCTCACATTGTGCTTGTTTGGGAAGACAAGCTAAATTCCACACACACACACAGTTGGATCCTTGGTTCAGCCAAACAAAGGATCCGCCATTTTGTTTCCAAAACTCCCTCCAGTTTGGTAATCAGCCTATCTCTGCCTGTTTACATCATCATCTCACCCCACCAGTCTGATTAGATTGTTACTTCACATTATCATTCCATGGTTTCATTGCTTGTTGTTTGTTTGATAAAATCAGTTGGTTGATATTGATTGGCTAGCGCTTTGAAGGAGCTAAGGTGATTATATTAGTTAATAAATGTTATTGCCAATTAAGCTTTGTCTCAAGTGAATTAGTCTGTGTTGGCTAGAATATGACCGCTGCTCGTTAAAAGAATTTTACGAACTTTAGACAGATTGATAGAGGTATGGATTCATTTTTCCCCTGTAAGAAGGGGTGGTGCCCCGAGGCATATCCACGGATCTCCTAATTACGTAATTAATTGGTAAATATTTCCATATTTACGAATTTTATTGATGAATCCAAAGAGTAAGTAAAGCTTACAAATTATTTGTTGGCTAATAACCACAACATATTATGGTGCCCCGCGTGTGAGGCACGATAAACAGCGGAGATAATTTGATACAACACAAACAAATCCTTTGGTTTCTGGTAGAGCTTGGATCAAAATAATAAGTGGTCAGCCTTGAACCAGCTGGTGGCAACAGATTGGTGCTGATTTCACTGAGCCAGTGTTTTTGGCTTCCTCTCCTGACTGGCCTCGGTCAGGACAGAAAGTGGCCATCTTGTCTTTGGGTAAAACCTAGAAGCTGCATCAAAACTCCCACCAATAACTCAGTGCTTGTTTAAAGTGATAGAGACAACTAAACGGTTGATGCTAACAATTTAAACAACAAACACATTGTTTATATTATTTTATTTGTCTTTTCCCACAGTTAATGTGCATGTGCAGTTATTATGTCTAACCTTTTAGATTAGATCAACTGTTATTTTAGCAACTTTAACTCACATTGGCTAATTCAAACTAACCAAAACCTTAAATAGCACTTTAACACTGCAAGTGTTGTAAGACGTTGCTAGGGCAACGCACCGGTACAGCTGTTTGCTAAAAATACTGAAGGGAATAGTATTTTATGCGTTGGTCACGGCATTGGCTGTGCATTTTAAACACTAAAACCTGTGTGCACCAAAGAGGTTAATTTAGTGTTGCTGCTACCAGATAGCAGTTGCTGCCACAAAGTGCAGCTTTGAGCTACTGCAGAGCTCTGTTAGGCTATTTTGGTTCAGTTGTTGAAAATGGAGGATCAGACTAGTGACCTGATCAGCTCCCAGCAACCAGGTTGCGCTGCGGCCCACGACAAATATGAACCTAGCCTATTCTCTGGACGAATGCTGTCCAAACTGGTCGGAATCACCTGGCAATCCGACTACTCCGTCAGGAGCTTCACTGAAGAACAGCGTAGCAATGAGCTCGACGCTGCGATGTATCAAATAGAGAACCCAGATGATAAGTTGCCAATCCAGGTTCCCTTGGCTAAGTTAGTCCTCCTCCTCCATCAGAGAGAAATTCAACGTGATCGGAAGATCATGGAACTCCAGAGTATGCTAGCTGAAAAACAGTGAAATGGAAGGCTGGTGGAGGACGACGACGCCTGCACCGATTCTGGGGAGAGCATGGAGGAGACCCCCCCCCCCCACTGGTGAGAACAGACAGTGGGGAGGGAGGGTACACCACGACTTTGATGATGTTGACCCAGAGTCTTTCCCCACGCCGGTACGAAAGCAAACCGGCGGAGCCGACTTGGGTCCGTTCAGAACGATCGGCGAAGAGCAATTGGCTTCCTCCACCAGAGGCAGCGAGGGACTATCGTCCCACAGTAAAGGTAGGCCACCTCTTTCCAAGGTACCTGAAGTCAGGAGGATGCTGAGCGTGCCTCCTGATAGCCTGCCTCCTGATACATTGCGGTACAATAATTGACAGTTTGTAGTTTTGGACTCTCTGAACGGACGCATGCAGCGGGGGAGAGATGAAGCTTATCTGTCCCAACCTTCGGCCCCATTCCCTACACACTCTATAGGGCACTCAGGACCACCTAGGGGCCGAGGGCAGTCCACCCTCGGACTCCAGGTTGGACCACCACCCTCATCTTCACGGCCTCCTTAATCAGTGAGAAGTCGACCAGCCGAGCGGCCCCTCTATTTAGACCGCTCCCCCAGTCCACAACGGGTGCAAGGTGCCGATTGGGGTTATGCACAGTATACCCCATCATCCAGCCTGCACCTCAACCATCCACCCATTCTAGCCATTCCGGTATTCGGCATGCCGGCAGCCAGCTGCCTGACAAAGCATCCTACGCCAGTCCGTACCCGGATAGAGCGTATTACTTAGAAGCCCCAGTTGAAAGACGCAGGCCGCACCACGTAGACTGGCCCCGGGAGGAGGATCTCCCAGGGCACCCACATGACATGCCAGCAGTCCGTCGCAGCATGCCGGACCCCGATCTGGGCCCCAGGAATCAGCATTGGGAGCCCAGAACACACCAACGATATCCAGTGCACCCTGAGACAGACCGTGGGTCAGATTCAGAGGATGACGAGCCGTACCGTGAGTCAGGACTCCGTGTACGTCAAATTGAATCACTAGCTAAGGACAATGCTTTGATCCTAACACCAGCGAGTCCAAAATCGACGACTATCTCAGGGAGATGTAACGTTGTCTGCTTGATCTTCCAGCACCCTCTTCAAGGGAAAAGCTCAAGCTAATTTGGAAAACCACATCTAGGACGGTGCATGGTTTCATGGAAACTCTGCCACCTGACACTCGAGATCGGTACTCGTCTCTCTGCCGAGCATTGAGGGATGAATACTCTATGTATGCCGACTCTGCATCAGCTACAGTGGGGGCCTTCTCCATCAAACACGGAAGGAATGAACCCCCAGAGAGTATTATCGCCGACCCAAAAATGCTTATTTCCAAGGTCGAAACGCCCCTGGTCCTGAGGAAGACCCTGCCTTCACATCGTTGGTGGTCTCACCATCAACTGCACCCACATCTCAGATGCTCACCTTGCTCTTTGGTCGGAAAAGTCAGCAGTCAGCCAGCAGACGTTTGAACTCCTGCGCCAGAAGGACCCCCTGCTGGTCAGTGTAACACGTAGCCACCGGCTCTTGTCAGCTACTTGGCCACAGAGGCTCCTCAAAGCGCCAGAGGTCTGCTCTCTGACTATCCAGCTTGGAGCAAGACAGCTCACACATACATTCAGCATCATACCATAGCTTGACCCACCTGCACACATTGGAGCAGACCTGCTGGTTCGACTAGGTGCCCAGCTGGACACTTGCAATCAAGTCCTTTGGGCCCGTGCCACTCCATCACCTGAGCCTCGCCCAGTAGGCCATGAACACCTGCTGTCCGGGCAGACCATTCCACAGGCCTGCTGAGCAGTGGTTGAGGCAAGCACGGTTCTACCCCCACAGATCAAGGGAATGCCTGTTCGTCTGGCTCTGATGAAGCAGCAGAAGCTGCCAGGCACACAGGCCTTCTTCCAGCCATCACCGCACTTCTTGGAGCTCAACTTAGCCGTCTGTGGCATGCCACTCTTGGAGCTGAACAATCGCTCTGTTTACTTGTTGGTCGAAAATCCGACCCGGAGTCCCGTCCACCTGCCGGCAGGACAGCCCTTGGGCATGCTGATAGGTAGCTCCTTCCATGATTTTGAACTCTCAGTCCCCGTGACTGGACAACTTCCCTTGTTCGTGAACAACAGACAGATTGTGGCAGACACTTTTAGTACTTTCCCCTCACAAATGGTTACCATTAAGCGGTATGAAGCCCTTCCTGAGGAACCCATTTGTAGCGCCACCTTAGATACGGACAGCAGTCAGTGCCTAACGGTTTTTGCAATAAATACTCAGCCATCTGGGTCACCGGTTGAAAGCCCGG